GGAACAGCCCCAGATCCCACCCAAAATCCAGTGTTGGGGATTCTCCTCACTGCAGTGTCAGAACTGCTCAAGTTCCCAGCTGCAATTCTGCAACCCCTTCACTGCCAGGGAGCTTCAGCAGAGACCCAAACACCAGATCCTCACCCAAAATAAAGGGGAATGGCAGCACAAACCCCTTTTCCTGAAGACTTCTGGAACATCAGAGGCAGAGACAGGAAATCTCCCTACATTTTCTAAGGTACAAGATTGCTCCTAACATGGGGGTGCCACAGAGCCAGATCCTCACCCAAAATAAAGGGGAATGGCAGCACAAACCCCTTTTCCTGAGGACTTCTGGAACATCAGAGACAGGAAATCTCCCTACGTTTTCTAAGGTACAAGACTGCTCCTAACATGGGGGTGCCACAGAGCTCTGAGCCCTGAACAGCACTCACAGCACTTCTCTCTAACAAATCCCTCTGTCCATGAGTTACAGCTGCAAGGAAAAGCCAACAGGACACAGATATTGTGCTTCTGAGATCATTAAGGCAACACAAGACATGTGTTGACCCAGACATACTTCCCTAACTACGTACTTGCTTCTACTCAGCATTATGGTATGCTGGACCTTGGAAGAGCCCTGACTCGCATGAGAAATGTCCTCCCTCACCCCAGCAGCATGGGAATCGCCTTGCTGGGAGGCTCCAAGTCATCCAGCAAAGAAAAAAATCTGCAGAGGAGCTCCAGGCCTGGGGCTGGCCAAGATCAGCAGAGCGGTGTCGAGGAGCGTTACCTGAGCTGTCAGGCCAGAGATGAGTTGTGCCCCACAGCGGGACCATATTTAATGGAGATGAGCAGAATTTCCAGCAGATTTAAGAGCAGACATCAGGAAATGGATCATGCTTCATACCTTGACAGCTGGGGGAATGCATCCGCTGGCCAGGCAGCCAAAGGGGCTGGGAGCAGCACGGAGCTCCCCCTGGACACAGCGCCTGTAGAGGCAGCTCCAAAGCCCCCAAAAAAACCCAGACCCTTCCCTGAGGGACCTTCTGCTCACTGAGACAGGACCTGCAGCCACCACAGGTTGCTACAGAACACACAGAGTGGAGGTACAGGTGGTTTTTACAGGGCACTGCAGCAAGAGATGGGGTCAGCCCCAGGCAGGGACACGAGCAGTGGGACACTGACAGCAGACAGGGGGTTAAGGACACATGGGGAGGTGTCCCTGAGTGCCAGGGCTGGGTGAGTGCCCTGGGATCTGACAGAAGGTGGAACCATGTGTAAATGCACAGCCTGGTGTCCCATGTGTGGTGTCCTGCAAGCCAAAAGAGAGAGGAAAATGTCTGGCAAATAAGGTGTATAGCCGTGAGAAGGCACTAAAAAGAGACATGTCAGCCTTTTATCTGCCATTTCCTAGTGACAACAAGAAACCTGAGACAGGAAAGGTAGCTGAAGTCATCAGAAGCAACCTCAACCCCTCTGCCCTAACACACACCTTTAGAAGATTAACTTTTATTTTAAAAATGAAGAAACAAGTACATCCCCTCACACCTCCAGCAATCACAACCAGCACCCTCCTTTCCTTTTTTCTTTCTCAGTTCAGGCATGTGGTGCTTCCCAAGCAGCTCTGAGAATATCAAAGATGTTTTGTTGTGACCACTCAGCCCCTGCAAACCACACTCTGCAATCAGGGGCCGTGTCCCTGCTGCTCAGGATGATGGATAAAACCATAATATAACAACATAAGAATAATAAATTATAAACCATAATATAAGAATATTACACATAACTGTAGTGGATGTAACTGAAAGGTTCAGTGTGATCACCAATGGGTTAATTAACTCTTTCTTTCCTTTCTATGCCCCTCCAGCCCCCATGCCTGGCTCTGCCCAACACATGCCACTCACTGCAGTCAGGTGTTATGACCACATATTCCTATCCCCTGTTAACTCTTCAAATGAGCTTTCCCAGTGCCATTTCAAAGGTGACACGAGCAATTTCTCTGGGAGATCACACACCACTGCCGCACCCATCCTCCCACCCCACAGGCAGTAACCAAACCCTCCCTGCTCAGGGAGCTGCAGACCTTTCCTTTTCTTTTAAGAGGAGGCAAGAGGCCCCGCGGCAGTAACAATTAGAGCTTTGTGGAGAGATCCGAGCTGCTCAAAGGGAGCGGCCTCTAGGGAAAGACAGGAGAGCCATCTCCAGGCCACTGCCACCAGCACAACCTGGCACAAGGGACAGAGCCCAGAGCACAGCCCCAAACCAGAAACAATTCCGTTTACAGCTAGTGCTTTCCATGCTTTCACAGCTTCCAGAAATGTGTGAGAAATGAGTTAAATGGATTAGAGGAGAGGTCCCGTGAGATCGTGTTCCTTCTGCCAGCACCCACAGGCCTCAGCTGGTGCTGGCACCTTGTCACAGAGCAGGCAGCCCCTCGCTGCCCCCGGCTGGCACTGAGCCTGGCACAGCCCTGCAGCCTTCCCCTGAAGCTCCAGGGGTTTGCCATCCCCTGGGATGGGAGAGGAGAGCCCAGGGGACAAGCCCAGCCAGCAGCTGTGGGAAAGCAGCCCTCAGAGAAGAGGCCGGGCCCAGACCCCACCCGCCCTGGAGTGCCCTCAGCCCATCCAGCAGCCCCACACTCGGTCAGGAGTCAGCTCTTCCCACACACAAGATTAATTAAAAGCATGCTTAGGGCCGGAGCAGTGGCTGGGACAGGGCCCCCAGCGTGGCACGGATCTGCTTTCATCCACATCACGTCCCAGTCAGCCACCAAAGGCAGGCCCAGCCGTGCTGCTGGCTGGGTCTGAGCTCTGCTCCCTGCTCCCCTCATCCCACGGCCAGGGACCCTCAGAGCCCAGCAGCAGGAGCAGGGTGAGCCAAGCTGCCCCTGTGCACCCACGCTGGGCCACAGATCTGAGAGCCAGCAGCACAGCCTGGTTGGAAAAGACACCTAAAATCATCCATTCCAGCCATTGTTTGTCACTTCTGTGCCCAGAATCTCCTCAAGAACAGCTTTGCCACGCATGGTTTGTCCTTCCCTCCACTGCCCCAGCTGAGCAGCTTTGCCTGCCTGTGCCGACTCCTTCAAGCAGGGACGTGCGGAGCAGATCAGAGACCAGACCTTCAGGCCATCCATTTCCCCATCCCGTATTTCATGCCAAAGTCATGTATCATAAACACCACCAGCATGGTCTGCACCTTCCCAAGGTCCCACACAGCGTCTGAGTGAGGGCAGAGCAACTCTGTTCATCATCCTGGCATTCTCCTCAGGTGAAGGAAGGCACACACCACATTTATGTACTCCTGGCACAGCCACGTGCCATCCCTGCTCACAGCAGGGAAAACCAGTGGAAAACCAGTTCCAGATGCACTTCAACATTGTTTTTTGCAAATATTGCTCCAGGGCATGAGCAAGAGTTCCTGCACCTCAGCACAAAGATGCTCTGAGGTCTTCCTGCCCGCTCTGGGAGCAGTGACAGCCAGCCCGGGCACCAGGGCTCTGTGCCCCTTGCACAACCAACAAGATCCCCACCTTTAGTGCTCCTTCAGAACAAAAAGCCCTGGATCCCATCACGAGGCAGTCCCCTTTCTCCCCAGAGACCCTTTGCAGAGTTGCCCAGCACCTCTGTGAGGAGGAAGTGGCCCCAGCACCGCACCACGGGTGGCATCGAGCCCCTGTCACCCCCTCCTGCTCCTGCCCAGTGGCACAGCCAGCCCAAAGCTGCTGGAACACAGGCAGCTCTCAGGAATGCTTTGAAGTGGCTCAGAGCAGAGGAGAAAGCACAAGCAGGAGAGAGGGACAGAGGGATGAGGAGGTGCCAGGGCACTCTGGGGAGTGCAGGATGCTCCTGCAGGTAAATCCTCATCCAGGGCCAGCGGGTGCTCCCAGCACATCCCTGCTCTGGAAGGGGCCAGCCGTGGGAACAGCCTTCCCTGGCCACAGCTTGGCTCCACCCTGGCTTCAGCGCTTCCTCTGGCCGCTGTGGTTTCCCTCCCAGCGCCGATGCCCAGCAGGGCACGCCCAGGACGAGAGGCTCGGTGCCCGGCAGGGTGAGCCCAGGGCGGGCACGGAGCAGGGACACCCAGCAGACTGGGCACAGACAGCCCTCCCTCAGCTGCCCTGGTCACCCTGCTCAGAGGGGGACACCAGGCAGCCTGTCCCCTGTCCCTGCCACCAGAAAGGAGCAGCCACAGCCACCCCCGGGCAGCGCCACCACCCCAGCAGCCGCCCGGAGCTGGGAGCAGTTCTTGGAAGAGCTCAGACATGCAGCACCGGGCGGGAATTGCAGGGAAAAAAAGGGAATGAAATGGAGCTATTCATTGCTCTGCCTCTCCCCCCCACGCACGGCCAGCAAGGTGAAACCCAGCAGAGAGCAGCCCTGGAACAGCCAGGCAGGATTGGGAGGGCAAAAAACGCAGGGAGGATAATTTGGCAAGCAGGAAAAGCTCCGCCACAACACGCAGACAGACTCACAGACACACAGACACACAGCCAGGAGCCAACCTTCAGAGCAGAAGCGCGTCTCCATGCCAAAAGCTCGGCGATTTTCCTCCCTGTGCCCGGCTCGCAGCTCTGAGCTCACAGGCTCAGCATTCATCCCCCCGCGCCGTGCGGCACATGGGAGCCCAGGGGGGAGAGAGGCTCTCAAATGAAATCCAGACCTAGAAAGCAATTTCTTCTTCCCCCCTGCTTTCCCCCCTTCGCCCCCCTCCCGGCTTCTGCTGGAATCACCGTCTGTCTCGAGGGCTCAGGAGGATGGGAAAAAAAAAGAAGGAAAAAAAAAAAGGAAGAAAAAAACTCTCAGAAGGGAATGATTGCAGGAAAAAAAAAAAAAAAAAAGGAAAAAAAAAAAGCAAAAGGGAAAGGTTGGAAGAAAAAAAAAAAAAAAGGAAATAAATAAAGAAATCGGCTGAATTCCACCCGGAGCAGGACTGTTCCTCTTCCCAAAGTACAGAAGCTGCTGGAAAGGTAGGAGGGCAGGGGCAGAATAGAACATATTAAAAGATCAATAGCCTACCTGAAATCCGGTCCCTCTCCATTACTACGGGATATATTTAGCATCCGCGTGTCACGGCCGTCCCTTTTTTCGGTGGCGTCCCCTTCTTTCCCCCACTCTCCCTCCCTCCTTGCCTTGCCTCCTCCTCCTCCTCTTCCAAAAAAAGCTCTTTGTCTGGTCTAATTTCTTCAATCTGTTGCAATCATGAATGCATCCAAATTACCACATTTCCATGTGCTGATCATATGTTTGTGCTCCAAACTGAAGTAGCTTTGTCTCTTTGAAATGAAAAAGAAGAGTAAGAGAGAGAGAGAAAGGAGGAAGAAGAAAGGAAAAGGGGGTACATGACCCGAAAAATCCTGTAACTCCCTGAAATACTCCACCAGGCGCAGGAAAACTGGAAATCCCGAGTCCTCTGTAAAACAGTCTTAAAGCTACAGCGTGCGAGTGTCCAGGGGAACGCTCCAGCCTCCACAGCTCCCTCTTAATATCCACCAGGAGATGCTTAAGGAACTTGGCTCCTCACAATAACACAGCGAACAACTCATCCAGCTTCTCAAATCTCTCCCCACTTCCCCGCTCTTATTTTCCTGCTATTTCCTCTATCCCCTCCTCCTTCCTTGGCTGCAGCATTTTAAAAGCGCTCGGATCCCGCACGCTCCCCCCCCCTCCCCTTCTGCCAGGTCTGAAGTTTCGATTCATGCATAAACTATTCGGCTGATGAAGGCTGACTTCGCTCCAAGCCCAGCATCACGGGGCTGCTGCTGCTGCTGCCAGGCGGGACCGGCTCCGGCACGTTCCCTCGGGGGCATCCCCGGCCCTGGCAGCGCTTCCCCCTGCTCCCCACGGCAAGGCAGCGAGCAGCAGGATTTCCCAGCTGCCAGAAGCGATTGTGGAAGTGTCTGGCCCGGGCAGGAGCTCTCGGTGCTCTCCCCGGTGTGGCGGCGGAGTTGAGGTGGGGTTTGAGAGCGGGTTTGGCTGCCGGAGATGCCCGGGCAGAGCCCGGTGCCCGCTGCTGCTGTGCCCGCAGGGATGGAGGGATGGGCTGGCCCTCACGGAAACTTCCCCTTGGGGAACACCGCGTTGGCACCTCCTGCGGGGCTGCCCTCTGCCCCAGCACCCTGCACGGTCCCCCGAGCCATCCGACACTGATTACTGCTGATAATCGCACAATTCACAGAAGAGACCTTCAAGATCATCGAGTCCAACCAGCCCCAACATCTCAACTAAACCCTGGCACCCAGTGCCACATCCAGGCTTTGTTAAACACACCCAGGGATGGTGACTGCAGCACCTCCCCGGGCAGCCATTCCAGAACTTTATCACCCTTGCTGTAAAACACTTTTCCCTAATATTTTCCAACCTATATTTCTCATGGTGCAGCTTGATCACCCAGCCAGATGCAAGGGCACAGCCTCCATCCCCAGAGCTGGCAAAGAAATCACTCAACCCCCATGCCAGGGCAATGCTGGGAGGGAAGGCAGAGCTGTTCCACAGGCCAGATGTGCTGACAGAACCCTTGTGTCATCTGCATGGTCCAAGTGACTGTTTTTGCCCCAAAAAGCTCATGAGTTCACACAGAAACACCCAAGTGTGACAGCTGTGACACAGCCTGGCACTGCTCTCATGCCATGGGCAGAAGGACAGGTTAATGCCCAGCTGGATGAATAAACCTCCAAGGAAAGACTCCGGGCACCACAGAAACTGCTGAAACCTTTGGGCAGCCTGGCCTTACTGCCCAAAGAAGGACAGTAAGGACATTCTATCACTTTTCAACACTGAGGATTTGTCCCGCTCAGCAGCAGCTGCAGAATCAACATCCCCAAAGCAGAGGGAGGAACACAGCCAGCACCCAGCTGTGGGGCCAGCCCAGCCCCCAGGCAGCACCAAGCCCTGCACATCCCCAGGGAGCCGGTGGGAGGCAGCCCCAAGACAGCCCAGTCCTTCGGGAAGGTTCTCTCCAGTGTCTCTCTCCTCCAGCATGTTATTCCCTGGGCAGAGGATTCAGATTCCTTCCCAAATGCTGCTGCTCATTCACTGTGTGCTAGCAGAGCTCTGCATGTTCCTGCTGCCAGAGCCCAAGGCACTGGAGGGGACAATGAGCAATGTTTTCCCGTTGACAGGCTCAAACCACGTTTCCTGCCTCGGATCTCAAAGGTGCTGAACACAAAGCAAGGACACGGGGAGCTGCACAGCCCCGCGGAGCACAAACCCCACTGCACTGCTGCACCGAGCAGCCGAGCTCCTGAGGCTGCAGAGGAAGGGAAAAACCCCGGGAAGGATGGAGAGAGGAAAGAGGTGAATGGAAAGGAAGAAGGGATGGGGGCAGCGCTCATTTTAACCTCCAGACTTTAACCCATCAAGACCCAGGTGGCTGGGAAGGATAAAAGCACCGTTCCTTGCAGGGCAGATGACCAGGAGGCACTCAGGGAGGTGAACCCAAACTGTGCTTAATGCAATTGAGCTTGAAATGCACAAAACCTCCAGGTAGCTGCTCTCAGTCAGACCTGAAGCACTGATGCAAATTTTAATGGATTCACTTTAAAGGTGCAGTGCTCACAAAGCATAAAAGGTAAATAATGGGTGCCTGTGATGGAGAGAGGGGTACCCTGTGCTGGTGATGTCAACACGGGGGTTTGTTCCCTTTAGAGGTATTTTTCCAGTGACCCTCATGGTCCTGAGCTTGGAATTCCCCATTTTTCTTAGTTTTTGAGAAGCTTCTCAAATGTCTGTTCAAATGGGTGTTCAGTGGTCTGTGCACTGTGCGAGTGTACACAGAGAAAGCAAATATACATTCCATTTTCCAGCAGTACTGTGCAGTGTTTTTTGTTCTACAGATTGGCAATTACAATCTCCCATACAAAACCACCACAGCTGCTAAACGCTGAGGGGAAGTCAAGCACACCCAGACTGTAGGAAGAGGACAGAGAACTCTCTGCCCTGGCCAGCGCTGCCTTTTTGGGGTTCAAAACCTCCTGGGGCTAATTTTGGAAAAGCCACAAGGAGAGGGAGGATGCAGGAGAAACTTTAGGGAAACCACTGCTATCTGCTGTAAAAACAAGCCAAAATCCCATTTTCAAACAGTGCTGAGACACGGAGCAGGAGCCCTGCTCTGCTGCCAGCCCCTGCTCACGGGGCTGGCACGGGGTGCCCACGTTTTCCCTCCCAGGTTTGCACATTGCCACGGCTGGCAGCCAGCAGGAAGCACTGCCAGGTGCAGAGAAAGCAAGGAAGGAAATCACAAAAAAAGAAAGTTGTGCAAGGCCTGTGCCAGCTCTCTGTCACACACCTCTGCCAGGCTAGGAGCTGCTCTCTGGGCATGGGCACAGAGATGAGCAGGGACTGTGCCCATGGCACGGAGCCCAGGGCAGCCAGGAAGGGGTTCAGGACCATTGCCACTGTCACCAGCCCCAGCAGTGGCACGGACACCTGCAGGTGCTCAGGTAGATCTCATTTGCTGCTCCTTCTCTGCCTCTCCAGTTTTATGCTGGGATTATGTTCCTGGGGCATTTCATTTGAAATATTTTCTGTTTTCTTTCCTGCCTAGTTCAGTGCAGTGCCTCAGTCACTGCTGACCACTTCTACCTGTGGGAAATGGATTTGTAGAGAGTTTTTAAAGTTTAGTAGAAAGTTTATATAGTGTGTATCTATATCATAAATTTGAAAATAAGAAATGTTGATTTAGAAATATTATAAAAGAGGATAGATGTTGAGACAGAAATAGGGCTAGAAATAAGTTTTAAATAATAGTTTTGTAAATAAGGTTAGATATTTTAGAGAAATACAATTATGAAAGATGTATTGTAGTGAGATTTATGAAGAGTAGTTTTAGATGCTTAGTTTTAAAGTATTTATAGTATATTGTGGAAAGAAGTTGATAGGTTAAGAAACATTAATAGTGTTTTGTAATGAGGGAATAGGTGGGTTTTAAGAACTCTCCACAAATCCATTTCCCACACCAGCAGGGCTTTAGCACATCAGGCAGGCATCACCTCAGAGCCCCAGCCCTGAGCTGGGGAGGATGAATGCTGCCAGCCCAGCCAGGGATCAGAGGTTCAGGCTGCCCTGGGAAAGCTGCAGAAAGCAGCCAGAGCAGCCAAAGGCCTGCAGGGCCTGGAGAGGCAGGAAAATGGGGATTCAGCTGCTTCTTTTACAGGTTATCTCTGCTATCTCAGCTTACTGGATACCTGGGAGGAGAGCACAGAGGGAGGACAGTGTGGCAGAGCGCAGCATTCCTAAATCAAATTATGTTTAGTGAAGCATTTTCACATGAGGAAATACAGGTCCAATCAAGTGCTCCAACTCAATCAAGTGTTACTCCATTATATTCACTCTGCGCTTTTACCCCCAGGCTGCACTGAGCCAGCAGTGAGAGTATCTGAGCCTCCATGGACTGTTAGCTCTAAAAACCTTTCTTTTTGCATTTTTATGATTCTTGATGATGGGGAAGAAAGGAAACATTGGCTAAAACTGTCCTTTTTCATTTGGGAACAAGTTAAAACCAAACCAAGGAGGTGCTCCTCTTTCCAAGAGAGGCACTGACACTCAGTGCTGCTGCCCTGCTCTTTGCCAGGTGTTTCTTTGCCTCCTCACTCCATCCCCTGTCCCAGCTGGGCACACAAGGAGCTTCCCTGCCCCGGCTGCAGCTCTCAGCTGCTCCACATGTGCCACCAAGCACTATTTTGCCACTCCCTGGCTATTTCTTACAAAAACCTCTATTTGCTCAACGCAGGGGCACACAAATCACTCAGATCCTCCTGAGTTACTCCTTTTCTGAGCCAGGGACCCACCCAGGGCACAAAGCTCATCACCACGCAGAGCAGGGCTGGCAGTGGCAGCAAGGCATGGCTGTGACAGCAGCACACAGCCCCTGCTGCCCCAGTCCCACACAGCCCCCTGAGATGCTCACCGAGTTTCCCATGGAGAGATTTATTCTTTTATTCTTTAAGGACAGTCCCTCTCCTCTGTGCTGGCTCTCAGCCTCTCTACCTGGAAGCCTCAAGCTGCTGGAAATCCCTCCCTGCTCCCCAGGCTCTCTGCTCACTCTTTCACACTCCTGAGCTGAAGAATTACCAGCAGCTGGCAGGGCAGAGAGAGAGGAGAGGCAGGACCGGGCACTCCTCACGCTCCTGGGAGAGCAGAAGGAGTTTCAGATAAATATTAACTCTTCCACAATCCCCTGCTGGTGTTTTCCTTCCTGGACCCCTCCCTCCCATTAGTTTTGCCCTCTTGACCCTCCCTGAGAGCCCCAAACAGGCAGCTGGGGTGGCAGAGAAGTTAAGCAATCTGATGATGGATTGATTAATTAATTAAACAAGTTGATGATGACCTGGAGCTACCAGACCTTCTGGGAATGTCCATCCCAGGGCATCAGAACACTTGGGGGGATTCCAGGATGCAGCATCCCCCCTGAGGTGCTTCACTGCATTTATTGCATTTATCACTTTTATTGAGGTAAAAAAACAGAAACTGAGGCACATTCCTGAACCACTGATTTCTATTTACTGCCTGTTTTCCTCACAGCAGAGCTCACAGAGCCAAGTGCTGT